TTTACTGTTATTATCAATCTGGACTCTCACAGATGAGTGCATATGTCGGAAAACAAGGAGGCCAGTTGTGTGCCTCAGTGAATACTGGACCCAACCTGAGTATAATGTTGTTTTGAGAGCCAACTCTGATGAAGACAAATGTGTAAATGTTTGCTACCATGCTAAGCTTGGTGGAATGTGCAGCTGTGGACGAGCACTTTACCCCAGGCCCTTTAGCTCTTTACTCAGAGACAGTGGCAGGAAAGGTTAGGGGGAGAGAGAGCGAGAATGAGGGAATGAAAATAAAAAGACAACACAGAGGAGAAAGAGGTCTGAGTGTGGCCATGATGATGAATATCCCATCTGCTCACAGATTCATTGGTAATGGAAGTGGTCTGAAGGCTTATGTTGGGTGGTCATGATTCCTCTTTGGCCTTAGTCGCTCCTCACCCGTATCGGTTAATCACTGTCCAATGCATAACCGCTCTTGGAGAGTTTTACCCCCAGCTGTCAACAAAAAGCTCAATCAGGTTGCTGCATGAAGCAGATCTATGTGAATCAGTGTGAAAGTGTAACGACGACTCTTCTGGTTCAGTTTCACCAAAGGGCTTTCAATCAAACCCATATTCAAGATATATTAGGCCAATTCTCTCCTGATTAATTGCCTTTGATGTGTAAGTGCTACAAATTAGGTTGATCCCATGGGGCACGTTCACTCTTAATAACTGACGGGATGCAAAGAGACAATTTTAAGTTCATAAAATAATAGGATTTGGGATGCAATACTTGTCAGAGTTTGTTTGAAAGAAAACATTGCTCATTCGCTATCAGATTATCTTGTTCGGTTCGAGTTTTTTGCATCCTTTTTGCTCGAAACATATCAAATTGAATAATACCACAAATCCTGACGGAATACATGGATAAAGAAATAAAATTCACAGGGAATTTTTTCATTAATCTCACATTTTGAGATAAAAACATTTTATCAGTGACCCTTTTAAGATTGTACTTGGAATGTTCCTGTTATTTTCCGATTAGTGGTTTGGCGAAGAGCTCTTTTCATTTTTAAAACCCAGTTTTTGCTGTATTCACCTTTATTCAAAAGCTCTTGCTGCTGTCTGCTCCAGGCCATCTCTGACAAAATGTGTCATACTCTGTTATATTTATGCCACAGCACATTCGACAGATCTGGGTACTTGCCATGGTTGCATTCGTGTGATGGGACCCAGCATGTCAATCGTGGGATCTTGCAGAGACAAAGATGAGGTCCAGGTTTAGACGCGTATCTGCATCAGCGTCTGTTTCATTTCCATAATCCTGTCCTCATTATACTGTGAGTAGGAGACCGAGAGATGCTGACCTTTAGCAGGAGAGTGCTCTCAAACTTTTTATCAGTCTCTGCAGGGCTTGTGGGTTGTCTGTTATGGCAGCTAAATTACATTGTAGTTGTTGTGATGAGGGCAGAATGGGATGTGGCAGAATACTCATCAGTCATGCAGGCGCAACTTCATCAAGCTTGTAGCCTTTCAAATTCTGTTTCTTAGATTTGTCCGCCGGATTTTTATTGTCTGAAGGTAAAAACATGGTAAATTAAGAAATTGATCACTTGTCTCAAAACAAATCTTCTTTGATATTTGTGGCAGAATATACATTCTTTAAAATTTGGGGTCTGTTAATGTTTTTTAAAAAAAGTCTCTTATGCTCACCAAGACTGCATTTATTTGATGGAAAATATAGTAAAAACAGTCAAATATTTCTTCAATTTAAAATAATTGTTTTCTATTTTAATATGTTTTAAAATGTAATTTATTCTTGTGATGGTACAGCTGAATATTCAGCAGCCTTTACACCAGTATTCAGTGTCACATGATCCTTCAGAAATCATTCTAATATGCTGATTTGTAGCTCAATAAATATTTCTTATTATCAATGTTGAAAACAGTTAATATACATATAATTTTTTCATTAATAGAAAGTTCAAAAGAACAGCATTTATTTGAAATAAATATAACTTTAAAAATGTCTTTACTATCACTTTTCATCAATTTAATGCATGTATTAATTCTTCTTATTATTATTAATTAAATCATCTTATTGATCCCAAACTTTTGAACGGTAGTTACATTTTTTTTATAGGATCATTCATTCACCCTCATTCCTTTCCAAACCTTTATGACTTTCTTTCATCTGTTGAAAAAAAGGAATGGTTGGACTATATATATATATATATATATATATATATATGTATATATATATATATTAGTCCACACAGTTATATAATGTTATATAATGTCAGTTTTGTTTTGGACCCCACTGACTTTCATTGTATGGACAAAAGCAAAATTTAAGAAGCAATCTTCAAAATGTCATCTTTTGTGTTCTACAGAGGAAGTCATACAGGTTTGAAATGGCATTAGGGTGAATAAATGATGACAGAATTTTCAATTTTGGGGTGAGCTATCCCTTCGATGTCTAGCAGCATATAGAGAAGAACAAATAAATTCCATGTTGTGTCTTTAATAAAAGTGATGGCCATCTTTTGGAAAAACGATCAGTATAGATCACTGCACTGGCCTCAAGTGTTCGTCATGGCGAGTCAAAAGCAAATCACTTTGTCACAAGCTCTCAAAAACCAACAAAGGGATTTAAAGAACATGAGTTCCAATATAAATGTACACTTGAGTATGTTTTTAGCAGAATGTTGGGATGAGGGGAGAATGTTAGCAAAATGAATCTTAAAAGAAAAGGCAAAGGAATTGATTTAATTAATGCGGCCCCATGTCCTACGGCCATGTGTAATCCGTCGAGAATTCCTGAGCGTGAGCTCTAGGAGACAAAAAGACATCTACCAGAGGACTCCTCAAGTGGCCTGTAATGAGAACCTCCCTGTAATCCCATAATTCCTTGTTTAATTAAAAGACAGATCTGGCCTGGAGTCAAAGCCACTTTGATGGCTCTTTCATTGTTTGTGCTTTTGTTTGGAGGCTATTTTTGGGATGTTCTGTCCAACTGTCCAACAAACAAATGGAGATGTGCAAACATATTCATTCTGGAATCTGGTTTTGCCGTTGGTTAGCTTTTGTTGTTGTGACCAACCAATGTCAGATGACAGTGGCAAAGTAAACATATGATATTTCTAATAAAAAATTTAGAAAGTAGATCTCTCCCAAAAAAAAAAATCATTTTAACTCCAACTAGGGGGAAAGGGCAAATGTGAAGTTTGTGTAAGCATTTCTATTAATCAAAATCGCCTCATTGCTGTCCCCTATGGTGAGGAATGGGAGTGAAAAGATCTGCTGTTGTCGACAAGATTTAATGTAATTGAATTACCTCTCAAATCCATCTTGTGTTTCACCTGACCTGAAAAAACAGTTCTTACTGTACTGTACTAGTAAAATGCGGATGTTTAGGGTGTAGAATGTATGTTCTGAAGCTCACTGTTGAATTGTATGTATAGGGCTGTGCATAAGTACAGATTTCCTGATTCAATTTCGATTCGATTCCAGATTCATTTGATTGTATTTCAGTTATAATGCCCATTTTACTTATAAATAAATATTCTCTCTGCTAATGCTGTAAATTATACTGGAAAGAGTTTAATCAAACACACACATTTAAACAAAAGGTTCCAAAAAAGGGGGTTTGCAGCAATGCCATAGAACAACCATTTTGGGTTCCTCAGTACCTTTCAGTGAACAGCCCTTAACAGAACCATTATTTTTCTTAGCCTAAAGAAATTTGAATCTAAAGAACCATTTTCCACTATAAAGAACCTTTTGTGCAATGGAAAGGTTTTATGGATGTTAAAGGTTCTTCATGGAACCATCAATGCCAATAAAGAATCTTTATTTTACAAGTGCAGAGTCATAACATATTTTTACCCAGCCCTGACATATAAGAAAAGGCAGAGTGCACCCCACTCGTCTCTTCTATAATCAGCCCTGTTCAGAGGGGCCAGTCTTGGAAGCCCACACCAGAATTAGCCAATAAGAAGCCAGGGTTCAGCCATTACTAATGTAGAATTTCTTCAATTTAGCGGGAAGTCATGGCCTGGATTAAGGCCAGTGTCTGCAGAGCTAGGCCCCCAATGCTGCTGAAGGGATTTTCAAGGATCAGCCCAGTGCCAGCCAAACTGGAAATAAATAAGGAATCAACTCAAATGAAATGATAAAAATTGGCTGTAAGACCTTCCCCGTCATATATGGAAATGGTCTTGATGTGACAAAAGAATGGGACATAGGTAGATCTTTTTGAACTGTTAGCGTTTTTTTTCCCAGCATGCTTGTCAATCTTTCATGTTTATACCTATTAATATTAATGCTTTCTACAAATATTTGCAAAGTTATCACCAACGTGCATACGCACCTGTATAAAGGTCACTGTTCCGCACAGCATGTATAAGCTAATGTGTCATTTTCGTTTCATCACTAAGCTACTCAGCTTGAATTGCCACCCACACACCTCTGGTTTGCATCAGATCAGATTTGAGCTCATTGTTTCTCATTTTTTCTTCAGCTAACCACTAAACAGAAATGCTACACTTGACATGCCTGCATTTGACAGATAATCCACCGCTCTTATTTTGAAGACGGCAAGATTGCAAATGGCATGCAATGAAATAAACTTGAGTTATTTGCAAAGTGCCAGTTTTGTTTCATTTTAGCACAGAATACCGGTACGAGGATCGCTAAGGTGGTCTTCAGAGATTAACTCCCCCCACTTTTCCCTTTATGGCCTCGGGGCGAACTGGGATGTGCACTGATGTGGGATTGTATTTACAAGAGCTTCGCTTATATAAATAGCCATGCATTGAAATAATATTTGCTTGAAAGCCACATGAATACATCTCACTTCACCGTGCCGCCATCCATCTATCTGTTTTTTGGGTCCACATTCATTTAAACACATCATATCAATATGATGACAGCATTCATGACCAGAGAGCTTTCTGGTAAGTGCGTGACTTTTATAGTGCCATGCACAACGCGCTCAGTTCTTTCATTCTCTGTCGTCTATGACAGGTCGAATAGATGATGGCTCGGATGTGGAGTCTGAACCGGACCTACCCTTGAAGCGGAAGCAGAGGCGCAGTCGGACCACCTTCACAGCTGAGCAGCTGGAAGAGATGGAGAAGGCCTTTGAAAGGACACACTACCCAGACATCTACACCAGAGAGGAACTAGCCCAGAGAACCAAGCTCACTGAGGCCAGAGTACAGGTACGACACTGCCAAATACTAAAGCAGTTACTGCAGTTGTTAGATATATGCATGGTTTGACTGAGATGCAGTTCAAAATGTGTTTTATTGAATCAAGAGCCTTTATCTTCATCATTCTGTATATAAATCATAAAGGGATAGTTCACCTAAAATTGAGATTCGTCATCATTTACTCACCCTCATGTCATTCCAAACTTGTATGAACACACAGTGTAAAACTGAAGTCAAATGAGTCCAGTGTTGTTTGAAGCCCGCTTAGTTTTTAAATATCTTCTTAGAAAGAAAGTCATTCAGGTTTGGAATTACATGAGGGTGAGTAAATGATAACAGAACTTAATTTTTTTAAATTGTGCTTATCTACGAAGTTTACTTATGAAAGCATGGTACTCATAAGACTGATGCTCTCAGATGTAGATGGCACAATGAGAGCCCAGTAAGAGTTCAGCTATGTGCTTCGAGGTTTATAGAGCTCTAAAGTGTCACTAGATCTGCTTGACTAAGGTCCTCTGATTGATGACGCGTGTAACAATGCAACTGCTCATCTCAAAGAAAGTGCTAGAAAAACACAGCAGGCCTCTTCCTGTCAGCCGTATCGGAGAGAAACATGATCAGGTGGCTAATATGGTGCTACTTCTGTCAAAGTTGGCATGAAATGAAAATTCACCCGATCTGTTTTGAATGATTTATCCATGTATGTTTTGTTTTATTTTTTTTTGACTTAATGAATTTTTTATCAAAATGTCGTAACTTGATCTTCCAGTGAAATGACAGACAATATAACAAACGAAAAGTAAGTTTACATGCACCGTTTTAATCGAGCAGCTCAGAATGGCGTTACAGTCTTCCGTCAAAATATACATGTCACAATGCATAACTGAATATCTGAAGGATTAAAAACATGTTTTGTGTCACTTCTGACTTTTGTAGCGCTCACATGACACTGAGACTTGTAGTTGCAGAAACCACACTGGTATGATTTCAGTTGGACCAATGCGTTTACAGTTGCGTTGTTTTAGTCTTACTGAATTTTAACTTTTAAAGTACATGTAAATGTACTTATTGTTGCAAAGCATTTATGCACAAGGGCTCTGGCTCCTCCCACCACTGGTCCTGACAGCTTGTCAACCATGTGGATAGTTGAAACAATGAGTGGGGGAAAATACAGTAGAGTTATGGCAGCAGCTGTTGGGAGCAAAGGGAGGGGGATAAAAAGAACAAGAGTGCATTCCTGATGGATTTCTCACTTCAGCTTTTGGCTGGGATCTTTTCTTCCCACCACTTTCAAGCCCACCATTGCTTCTTGTAAAATTTGCTGCATATCAGAGAGCATCCCACACTCTCTCTAGGGAACCCCTCTCCACCAGTTACATTAATCAATCAAGAGCTGGTAAAAAATATGACTGTTCTGAATATTATCTTAAAGGGGTCCTATTATGCTCTTTTACAAAGTCTTGATTTTGTTTTGGGTGTACTAGAACAGGCTCTCATACTAGGTTGTTCGAAAAACACATTATTTTTCACATATTTTACATTATTACTACACCTCTCTCCCCAGTCTGGCATGAACGGCTCGAATAGTTCCTGTATCAAATGAAGACCCGCCTTCTGAAATATGAAATGTGCTGTGATTGGTTAGCTGGGCCAGTGTGTGTTGTGATTGGCAGCACTCGGCGCCTGGTCGGGAAATGTCATGCCCCTTAACATAACCACCTGCCAGCTTCAGTGTAAATATTGCATTAAAATCAAATAAATTTGAGCGCGATTTAAACCCGGATGATTGTAACCACTCTAAGT